GGGGGAGGAGTAGGGTGAGGATGAGGAGGAGGATGAGGGAGGAGGGGGTTGGCCTCTCCTCCACCTCCTCCTCCTGTGATTGAACCTGTCACAGAAGGCTTCCCATTGAAATCCTATACAAGAGGGCTCGCACTGAAGCCCGCCACTGAAGGATTTCCAGTGGGACCCTTCACAAACAAAGTTCCTACTAACCAAACCAGAAGGATGTCTGGAGCTATGGGACGAGAAGAGAAGAATGAGGAGGAGGAGGAATGAAGAGGACGAAGAATGAGGGCGTGAATCGCAACGCTGAGGGGCGAGAACTCAGCATAATGATGATGATGATGGTGATGATGGTGATGATGATGATGCTGATAGGAAGGAGGAGGCATGGGGAGGAGGAGAAATGAGAAGAAGGAGGATAATGAGACTGAGGCGACGTAAATCGTGAGACCGAGGATGAAGAGGAGAGGACGAGGAGGATGAGGAAAATGAGGCCGGTGGCGAAGATGATGATGATGATGATGATGATGATGATGATGACGATGATGATGATGATGATGATGATGATGATGATGATGATGACGATGATGATGATGATGATGATGGTGATGATGATGATGATGATGATGATGGTGGTGGTGGTGGTGGTGATGATGTGGTGGAGAAGGCATGAGGCGGATGAGAAATGAGGAGGAGGGTACTGAGACTGAAGCGACGTAAATCGCGAGGCCGAGGATGAGGAGGAGCGGGCGGGGAGGATGAGTAAGATGAGGCCAAAGGCGACGATGGTGATGGTGATGATGCTTATGATGGTGATGATCATGGGAGGAAGCAGAGGAGGATATGGGGGGCGTTGTCTCACGCGCGAAAGTTATTTGGCTCACAGCTTCGCTCAACCGCTTCCTGCTTGGAGCCATGGGTAACCTCCAAAAGGGCACCAAACGGTACCAGGACAAGATGGCAGCGAACAGGAAGTACAAAGCCAAGAAGAGGCCCCAGAAGTTCTTGCAATCGCCACGCGTAAAACAGCTGGTGGCGACGTTTCGCCGCGCGGCCTCTGAGAAGATCCGCGCGGCGGTTCGCCGAGCTACGGAAGAGCACAACGAGAAAAGAAGACGCCTTGCGGACCATTGGAGGCAAAAACACCACACGCCCCAACATCAACGTACTACCGCGCAGTACCGACGCAGTTCGGAAACACCACACAGCACCACGTGCTATGTCGTGTTTGCGGGCAGCGCCGCTTCTGCGAGCACTAAATAACGTGTCTGTTTTGTGGCCTGCCCACAAGGAGGCGGCCCAACAAGCACATGAGGGACGCCAAGGGGGCGCGCGACGAGGCGAAGATCTTCCGCGGCGAGGCGGCCTCTGCTTGGAAGCATGGCAAAACCGGGAAACTTGGTTTCCAACACAACTGGATCGCAATGGGAAGTCGCCACACTACCAGTTCATCATTAAGTTTGAACTCTGGACCTATCGCACACGCACCGCCCTTTTCTCCCCTCACGGAAAGCAAGCGCCGCGAGGAGGCAGAGACGAAGACGGCCGCGGCGAAGAAAGCCTTGGCCAAGGTGAAGGCGGACCTCAGCAACAACCCGGTGCGCATCAAGGTCGCGGGCGAACCTTCCAACGCCGCCACGTCGGACTTTGGGCGCCCGACGTCTGGCAGCGACTGCTGTGCGCGGCAGACGACTTGTGCAGCGTGTCGCTGCTTGAGGGAGACCGCCCTGGGTCTATCGCGGCGGCAGTGCAACGATATCTCGCCGCCAAGAGGTAACCAACAGTAAGAGGCGCTGCCACAACCTGGAGAAGCAGCTGCGCGAGTTGAGGGTGGACTGCGACAAGTTGGAGGATAACGACTGAATACCTCACCTCCTGGGCTGCGCTGTGGCAGCTGCAGCCGCTGACAGGACGCCTGCAGCGGCAGCCTCGGTGCCGCTTTGGCGAGCATCGAGAAAAACTGCGCACCGCGCCGTTGGAGGAAGGGAGCAGCAGGGGTCGCGAAGTGGAGAGAGGAAGAAACGAGAACAGGAAGGAGAAGCTCCGCCGCAGCAACACAAACAGACCGCTTGCAACGGCAACCTCGGTGCCTCCTCCTCCCTCCCCTTCTCTTCCTCCTTCACCGCTTTCTCCTCCTCCTCCTGCCCCTCCTGCTCTTCACCTCTTCCTCCTCCTCCTGCTCCTCCTGCGTCCTCCTCCTTCACCTCTTCCTCCTCCTCCTCTTCCTCCTCCTCCTCCTCCTACATCTTGAATCGCTTTGGGGCGGCGTTCAGCAAAAAACATATAAAAATCGCGGGGGGCCGAAAACGAACCGAAACCTCGAACAAAAGGAGGGGGGGTACAAAAGAATGGGGTGGTAGCTTCGGAAGCCTCCCCCCCTATTTGAAAGGGGAGCCTGGGCTGAACCCGGACCCCGAAAGGGGGTGGAGGAGGGGAGTAGCCCCCAAGCCCCCCCCCCCCCCTCTTGGGCCCCCCAAGCTAAAACATGCCCACAAAAGGGGGTGAGCCTTTCCAAGGAAGGGGGGTGGTAGCTTGAAGCTGGGGCTCCTTTTCTAGTAAGGAGTGTGCAACGGGAGCGCTTTTTCGAATAAGAAGAGCAACCTAAAGCGGTCACAACTTCGCCCTGCTGAACGAGACGTGGGAAAACAAGTCGCATGTGGAAGTATACACGTCGGGATTGCTTCCGAAAAAATGCCGCACGCAGAGGGACAGGGGGAACGGGGGGGTGAAGGAGAGAGGGGGGGGAAATGGAGGGGGGGAGAGAAGAGGAACGGGAGATGCGGGAGGTGCGAAGAGGGCTAGCGGGAGGTAGAGGGGCAGAAAACAGTGGCGGTGCAGCGCGTTGGCCATCTGTGCAAACTGGTGGCCGGCGCAAGCGGGGACCCCCAGCACTGCAAGGAGAAACTTAATGGCGTTGCGTCGCTATCTAACTGCCTGGCCACGAACATGGGATCCGAGGACATGGAGATTGATCACGAGATAACTTACGAGAGTACTGGACATCATGTGCGCGCCTTGCATCGGCAAGGCTCATATGCAGCTTAGCATGCGCGTCGTCGGGGCAAAGAGGCGAACTTCAATGGAACGACAATGGTTCCAGAGCGTTCGTATCTTAGCTAACACGCCATTTAGTCAACTAGGCTACGGAGGAGGAGCCAGCCTGGGCAGCACAAGTCATAGAACGGACGCCCGGCAACGGCACTTGACGTTGCCACGCGCGCGAGCGAGCCAGGGGCGGGCTGAGCTGGGGAGGAGGACGACCCACAACAGGAACAAAAATAGGGCGTGGCCCCAAAAACCCGATGTTTTGATGTTGTTCGCAATGCGGGGTCCCCGCGGAGGTCCCGACCGTTGCCCGAGGGCCGCCTTTGCACGCGTTCTTTGACGGCCCCAAGGCCTGGAGAGGGTCCATGAAGGTCGAGAACGGCCAACATCTGTCCATCGTGTTTTTTTCCAAGACGCAAAAATGTTTGACGGTCAGCGATAGGAGGGGGCCAGCTGATGGAGGGAAGCATCGAGCTTGAGTCGGCGATACATCGCTGATGAATCGGCGATCGGCAACCGATAGCGAATCCGCACTCCTGGGCCAGATTGGGCTATCAGGCACCGGTCGGCGACTAATAAGCGATTCGGGGTCGACGCATCCCCCTTTAGCCTATCTTACTTTTTATAATGACATGCCCACAAAACCCCACCTAGCCGGCCGATAGCAACCCCGCCGACCGAATTCAAACAAAACCATACAACCTCAATTTTTTCCAACATGTCGTCGACGCTACGAGGTGTAGCACAAATATGGGACGGAACGAACATCGCTTAGGTAACCCTAAGCGGGTGGTCGCGTCCGACCGATCAAAACAATACAAAGCCAACGTTTTTCTCGACAGCATGGACGTTGTTGTCGTCGACGCTGCGAAAGGTGTAGCACCAAAAAATGGGACGGAATGAACATCGCTTGGGTGGCCCTAAGCGGGTGGTCGCGTCCTACCTATCAGCAACAATACACAGTCAACGTTTGTCATGACAACATGGACGTTGTTGTCGTCGACGTTGCGAAAAGTGTAGCAGGAATGGTACGCGGCGCACATCGCGCGCGGACGCCTGGCCAACCCTACGCGGGACCACCCGTCCTACCTGCCAAGAAACACAGCAACGTCGAAGTTTCTCTTGCCAGGATGTACTTTCTCCCCCTCCTCCATGCGCGGCAGGAGCGAAACGATTGGCGGTACAACACGCGTGGCTGGAATGAGACGCGGCGCGCTTCGCGCGCTGGACATGTTGTCGCCGACGATGCAACATGAGAGGCCGGAGCGGGGCGCGGCGTACATCGCGCGCGGTCTTGTTTCTCGTCGACGTTGCTCAATACGCGGCAAGAATAGGACGCAGCTCATGTCGCGCGCTGAACGTCTAGCCGCCCACGAAATAAGATGAGCGACAGACGTCGGACGCGGCGCACTTGCTTCTTATGTTGTGGGAGGGCGGGTGGGAGTGGACGGAGCCCTCTGGCTCGTTCGAGCTGGCTAACTTGATCCCCCCTTACCGTTGCCCTTGAAGTCTGCATGTCTGGAACAGGGGATGCAGATGGGGGGCGAGGATATGTGCGGGCTGTTCTGCCTGTTTGTTTTTGTTCGCCAGAGTCTCGCCAGAGTCTCTGTCTCGCCAGAGCTATGGGGAATGTTCTCGCGATTGTTTCTGCCCCCCGCTCCGCAGCCCAGTGTGGGGCTCAGCTCGAGTCCGCCCAGGACGGCAGCGCTGCTGACCTGCACCTGGCGCTCGAGAAAAGTCCGACTCACAGAGGGCGCCGCTGTGGGTGGGAGGGAGGAGGAGCAGGAGGAGGAGGAAGTGGTCGAGGAGCAATTCAGCGATGGACGGAGGGAAGAGGAGGAGGAGGAGGAGGAGGAGGTGCAGAGAAAGATGACGGAGGTGAAGGAGGACAAAGGGGAGGAGGACCGAGGGAGGGGCGAGATTTGCTTCAAGGGGCTGCTCTGCCTGCAAGCCCCGCCGGCCCGCTGGGCCGCCTTGTGGTGGTCCTCGGGGGTGGCCTGCACGCCGGCCGCGCAGAGGACGCGCCCCCGGGAAAACTTCTCCTCCTCGGCGCGCCGCCGCGCGGAGGCGAGCGGAGGCCGCGGGAGGAGATCGGCAGCGATGGATGATGGGCCTGCTTTCCACCACCACCACCACCAGAAGTTGGAGGGGAGAAGGAAGTGAGAAGGAGGAGGAGGAGGAGGAGGAGGAGGAGGAGGAGGAGAAGGAGCAGGAGGAGGAGGAGGAGGAGGACCCCTCCCCCTCCAACTGATGGTGGCGATGGTGGAAGACAGGCCCAGCGATGGAGGCGGGGAGAGAAGCTCCCTCACGCTCCCGGACCAGCGCCGGCGCCGCCGCCGCTCCCGCCACACGCCACACGCCGCCGCCGCCGCTGCCGCCGCCGCCGCCGCCGCCGCCGCCGCCGCCGCCGTCGTCGTCGTCGTCGTCGTCGTCGTCGTCGTCGTCGTCGTCGTCGTCGTCGTCGTCGTCGTCGTCGTCGTCATCGCCGTCGTCGTCGTCGTCGTCGTCGTCATCGCCGTCGTTGTCGTCAGTCGCCGCTTTGGCACGAGCATTTTCTGCGCAGGCGACCAGGACCTGAAGCAACACACAGAATGCTATACCAGATCGTACCTTGAGTGTTGTCACCGCCTCTGCCAGGGCACACGACCGATGGCCACTGGAATCGGCCACCGATCGCACCCAGCATCAAAGTGGCCGCGGCTTCGTGTGCCAACAGAAACGGCGATTGGTTCTCGTGGATGTCGCCCTGAACGCATGGCGGGCGCATGGCTTTGACTGACATGTGGACTGCATGGGTTTATTCTGCCACATCTTCCCGAGGCGGGAGCACCTGGTTTGGACCACATGGCAATTCTTTGACTGACCCAATCATGTGTCCCACGGCGCTGACCGGGCATGTGGTGGATGCGGGGCCCCTTCACACATTGGGCCGTCAATTACAACGGATTTCGTGCAAACGGCATCGAGACCACGTTCCTGTGGCTTCAGAGTTTCTCTACGTTCTTACTCACGACACGGGGGTGAACAAAGAGGTGCTTGGAACTACGACGCTTTGATCTCGAGCGCGAAAGATACCCGTACCCGGACCCAGGCGGGGTGGCAAAGGGCTGGGGGAGCGACACGCCGCAGCCGACGGCGGTTGCACAAATGCAGATGCGACGGCCCATGGAACATTACAGCGCGCTGTTTTCTCCGGGCATCCACTGTCACCGAAGGCACGCGCGTTCCGATCGGCAGAGTGGCCGACCGCGCATTGGTCGCTCTTGGGCTAAAGTAGCTCGGTCGGAGGCGTGCCCACAAAGGCGCACAGTCAAGCGTTTGGGGCCCGACGCGCAAAATGCGTCCTGGGTGTCCTGGGCGAGCGCCGCTGCAATCCCGCGCTCGCCCCAAACGCCTGGGGCCCCGAACGCCAGGCGCGGTCGCCAAGGGCTGCTCCCTGGAAAACCCCGCCTGGCGTCACCCCAGCTAGGTCTGGGTACGCGTCGGGGGGCACAGTCGCCGACGCGCGTTGATGGTACCCCCGGACACGTACCCGTACCTAGTCGAGGTGGCGTTTGGTCGAAATCGCTCTCGGGCGCACGCGCGGCCCCCGAGAGCGCTCCCGAACGCGGCCGCAGCGGCCCCAGGGGGAGCGTGAGCTTGCAACGACGCTCCAGCGGGCAGGCCCAAACGCAACGGAGTGGTGGCGCCTGTCCCCAAATTGGACAGGCACCACCACTCCAATGCTGTTCTAAACCCCGCGGACACCCCCGATGCCCCCACGCGTCCCTGAAGCTAACCCGGGCATGTCGCTGTAATCAAACGCCCAGCTGTTCAGCGTTTAGTTGCATCCCGACGCGCGGATGCTGAAACAGCACGCACGCGGCAGGCTGATCGGGCGCAGTGGCAAGCGCCCAATCCAGCGGACGGCCCTTTTCACTGAGGCCGACCCCGGGTAAGGGTATGTAGCGGCAATCACGGGGCAAGGGCGCACATCAAATCTCAATGACTTGAACGCCACAGTCGAGACGGAGCAACCAATGTGGCAGCAATACTTGTCCAATTGATACCGTGATAATATCATGGACCATGTGGAAAGCGTTTGTACGCGTGTCGGACTGAAACATGTCCACCAGGAGCCCCAGCCAACGACTGCCTCTGGAGAAGCCGCGGATTCCAGAATTGCTTTGCTGACGCGCAGGCGAGAACCGAGAGAATACTGTGCCTCGGTAGCCGGTGCACAACCTGAAGGTACCTGGCAGCAGCCAGGTGATCTTTCTCGTCGGCTCGGTGCTGCTCGCCGCGCCGCTCACGAAGCGCGCCGCTACTCACTGCCCGGAAGAGCTGAAGGATGCGCGGGGGCCACGTAGACATCGAGAGGCCGATGATTTCGGCGGCGACGAGAAGGAGCAACTAGCCCAGGGGCGGGCATTACACGTATTCGCCCTGGAGCCTCGCCGACGACATAGATCATCGGCGCCCCTGGATACATGTATTGCTCCCCCCTGGGCTATTCGCCCCTATCGTCGCCTCGGATTATTGGGCCCGTCTTCTTGGAGGCTCCCGCTGCGACACAAACGGTCGAGATTATCAGGCCGTTCAGGTCGGACAGCCGACCAAAGAGGAGTGGGTAGAGCGCGGAGGCGACCAGGGGCGGAAGGCGGCATGCAGTGGGAGGAGGTAGCGTCGCTCGTATATTGGAGGGCCAACTTCGCGGGCCCCACTGCGTCGATGCAGCTGGACCCCGAGGTTCCCGATCAGGCCCGGGACGACGTCGAACAACTCAAAGGGTATATTTTTCGTGCTCGAAAACGCCGTGCATGCCCTGCGTGCACGACACCCCTGGACGTCTGGCATGCGATACTACACCCCACTCATTCGATATCAACTCGAGGTCTCGGAGTCGGGGCTCAGGAGGCCCCGCTAGACAATGTTCGGATAAGGATCGCCTTTATTGAGCACTACAACAACTTCATCAATCTAGTTGCGCACCTACTACTCATTGGCACCATAGCTGAGAAATGGGCCTAAATAAGCGTAGCGGCATCACGGGACCGAAGTGCAAACGGGTGATCCATCTCCTAGCGGTGCTGGGAAAAGGTGCGATGCGCTACTCATCTCGAATCTGCGCGACCCGCTGACTACATGCATGGAGTTATCAAACATCGTCCCCGAGAGGCTCTTAGATTGAGCCGGCAAGCTGTGACACAGAGATTGCGGAGGGTGGAGCTGCGTTCCATGACCATGCTCTACGCTTCGAGCAACACTTTCGCTAGCGTCGTCTGGAATGCCCAGGATGCCGTGGTTCAACGGACGATGCCCAGTCATCTGATCTTACACGGACGACAGCGTTATCGGTGTGCGAGTGTGTCACTCATGGTAGGTGAACGGAGGGCAACTAGGACAATGAGAAGGTGGAGGAACCGACGGTCCAGCCACAGGATTTGGCTGATTCCTGTAGCTCGAAAGTTTCACTAACCCCTAGCTTCCTGGACCCACGCCCAGGGCAAGACAGTGGACCTGGCTCTCACAGGTTGGTTATACCTACGATCTTGGTAGGCAACTGGTGTTTCCGCGGGGGCGACCTCTGAGGAATCTTGAGACTCCCAGCCAGAGGGTTAGCCAACTCTTGGACGTTGCCTTTGCATCAAATCCTACTCGCTTAAACCGTGAAGTTTGGAAGTCCAACCACACTTCAGGAGCTTACGAGGGTCCTCGACGATTTCGAGAGGGCTCCAAGAAGTTGCCCAGGGAAGTCGAGAGCATCGTTCGTCTACTCGGAGGTGGTCGTCTCTCCGTGCAGCCACCTCTTGGTCCCGGATATCAATATCGGCGCTGGGCTAAAGCGAAAGCCTTGTATTCAATGAGTCGGTTATGGTATCAAGGCGCCCCCCCCTGATTCAAGCGCAGCGTGTTCATCGGCAAGGTGCAAAATACAGCTCTGGCCGCAGTGGAGGCATATGTACTCTCTGCTCGGCACCACCGGTTGCTTGACAACAGGACTCCGTAGGACAGCTATGGCGGGACAGGCCAGAAAAGGGCACGGGGAGGGGGGCGAAGACGTTATCTAGTGAGGAGGGCTTGAGGTGGTGGCGTCTTGCTTGAGCTCGCGTTGAGCTCCAGGTGCGGAGGTAGGGCCTGGTGGCAATCAGTCCTGCGACGCCCCGAACATCACGCGCAAACCATCACGGCTTTGATTGGGCAACTCTCGGTGGAAGCGTAGCCTTCTGTCAGGGACTTTATCGCTCAGTCTGGAGCTAACCCTTGGGCCCTTCAGGTTTCGGAGGACCTTCGAGAAGCCCTTCCTCTAGACGACGCTTATGACCTGCGAGAACAGATGGGGGATCGGGTCCCACGCCTCGTCTGGGAACGGGATCTCGCCTCGGCCGTCGCGCGTCTCGATGTGCATGCACTTCGTGCTGCGACATCCTCGGTCTGCACCCCTCCGCCTGGCATGCACGCGGTGGGGACTCCGCGGCGGGATGCCTTGGCCGCTGAAGGGGCGCATAACTGGTTCTGCATGCATGGGGGGTGCGATGCACGCTTCGCCACGCATGAAGCATTCAAACAACACTACGTCACTCACCACAAGCACCACGACTTGCTGAACATCGAGACGAATGATTGCCCGTACTGCGAGAGTGCTGATTCCTGTCGAGGCACGGCACAGCGACGCGAACAACATGCTCATCAGCTGGGCAAGTGCAGAGCGCAACCGCGCACCTCGAAGCACCTTATGACCCCCTCATCTCTATCATGTCCAATGTGTGCTTTTCTGACTGGAGATGCGAACGAGCTGCAGTAGCATATCCGTGAGCAACACGGGCCGCCTCTCCTGGGCCATGGACGTCGAGCTGCCAGCGTAGGCGCTCAAAAAGCACATCTTCCTCCCACACCGTGGACGACGCCTGCCACAAAGCGGCCAATATCGCAATGGTCGGAGGGGACGAGAAGGGCAAACTCTTGAAGTTGGTGTTTCTTCTTACCAAGCTCTGCCTTGCCAGCGCGCAATGCCTGCGCGAGCTGCCTTCGTCATTCCACAGACCAGCCTGATCCTTGTCAAGATAAAGGCACTGGGCCGCGCCTACCGCGAGCGGGCCCAGGAGATCGCGAAGATCGAAAGCCTGAGCGAAAAGGAACAGGCGCTCGAGAAGCATAGCCGCCGTGCCGCCGTACTTACGCACGTGGACAGCGCTCTTGAGGGGGTCGATGGAGCCGAGGGGGCTCAAGCATTGCAGCAATAATCGCGACAGAAACTGAAGGCCTACTGGACGTCGTAGTTTCGGGGCAAGCCGCTCGAGAAGGTGAACAAGAGCGTGAAGCATTGCAAAACCAAAGACATGAAGAATAAGGGTAGCAAACGGGAGACGCCCGCTTGACGGTCGCATTCGACCCATCGCTTGGCGAGGTGGAGGGGATCATCATTAAGGCCAACGGTCTCCAGGGCGGGGCCAAGAAGAGCGGGGCGGCTCCGTGGGGCCCCCTCGAGCGCGAGGTCCAGAAGCTGCCCGATCAGTCTCTCGAGAAATCGTAGGTCGATCTCCTCGAATGCTTCAAGACCCTGAGCAAGTTTGTAACTTCCCCCCCTAAGAGGCGCGCAACTCGCTCGTCCAGGCCCGCGCCCGAAAATGAGCCACAACGCCTAGACGCAGAGTCCCCGATCCCCGGACGGCGCGCCAGCAACCGCTGCCGCGGTCTCCAGGGCGGCGGCCGCGCCCCGGCGCTGCCAGTCGTCGCAGCATCGACAGGGCTGGCTGCGCGCCTGCAGCCGCGTCCGCCTCGAGCCCCGCCTCCGCTGCCGCGGCCCCGGGCTGCCGCGGCCCTGCCCCCCGGGGCCGCGGCGGCGGCGACGCCCAGACCGGCCGCGCCGCCAAACGCTTCCCGGCCCTGGCGGGCATCGCTGCGACGCCCCCAGCGCCGCCGGCCGAGCCGGCCAACTCAGCGAACGCGGCCAGCAGGCCGGCGCCCCCCACGACCACGCCCGCGCCCGGCCCAGTCGCCGCACCAGCCTCGCCGCCGGGCTCGCCCGCGGGAGCGAACCCGGCCAGCCCGTCTGGCCCCGCGACGGCAGTGGCCCCGTCCGCCAGGGGCGCCGCCGCCACGCCGCCAGGCGCGCCTGCGAGTGCGGCCTGCTCCTCGCCCTCAGCCACGCGCGTACACGCCGCGGGCAAGGCCTCAGAGGCCCCTGCGCCTTCCAGCGGCACCTCGGGCACGCAGCGGCGGAGCGCCGCTGCAGCTCCACGGAGATGGCGGCCCGCGCGCTGAAGCAGCGGCCGCCAATCCAGGGCGCCGCGCCGCGCGGGCCAGTCCCTGCAGCCGTGAACCTCGAGTCCCAGAACATTTAGGCATTCAAACGTCTCGCTCGCAAACACCATTTCTGTGTGAACATTAAGAGCGGTTGTTTCTCCAGCAGTGCAACTCGGCATGAATAGCGCCAGCTTCCCAACTGATGGGATGGGGACTCCGCAATGCAAGAGCTGACCCAGAAAAGAAAGTAAGCGGAGGAATAACACCAGCAATAACATCAAGGTCGGCCGAAATTAGAGTGCATGTTCTGAACGATCTACAGAGCGACGCGTCTGGCCATAAAGCTCTTGGTATCCGTGGAGTACGCCTTAGAATGCACAGTGAAAGGCACTAGTTATACTGAACAAACTTTACGAAGCATATTCCCACATGTTCAATGTTTGCATTGGCACTGTTGGCTGATATCTAGACCTCAGAGACAGCTTACGACTGGGATATCGTGAACAACTCGTTGGGAGGAACAGGACATCTGCAACATATCAAAACACATCTGCGGCACACCCTCGGCCGAGTAAATGTTGCCAACTCTTGCCCGGCCTGGTTCCACTTGGAACGGGCAGCCAACTACAGCATCTACTCCTGACGCAGCGAAACGCGGAGCGAAGCGTGGGAGGACGGGCAGAGGGGTGGGGGCGATGAAGATAAGGTGGAGGAAACGCGGCAGGAGTAGAAGCAGGAGGAGGAGCACAATAACATCGGGATCCTGGGGAGTGCGATCGGCTACACGCAAGAGTGATCTTGGGTAAGAGTGACCTTTGGTACGCGGCTTTTTGGAGGCCGCGGGGGGGCCAAACCCAAGCGCGCAAGACGCCACTGCCGCCTCACGTTCGGCGCTTGAGGGGCCCCCGTGGGCCCGCACCAAAGGTCACTCCGACAAAGGGTCACTCTTACATGAAGTCGATGCGAGCGTGGAAGGGGACGCAGGCGCCCTCGCCAGCGCGAACGTGACGAGGGCGCAGCCGCCGCTCGGATGAAGCGCAGGGAGCGCCGCCGCGCGAAGAAGAGGGCCCAGGCTTTCCTGGCAGGCGGCCGCGAAGGTGTCCAAGACGCGCCTCTCCAAGCCTGCGGAGTCCAGGGCGTGCACGCTGCCGTCATCCGACGACGACGACGACGACGACGACGACCACGACCACGACCACGACCACGACGACGACGACGACGACCGTAGCGGCGAATATGACGAATACAATGGTGATGGCAACGACGACGGCGATGAGAATGATGCCCCAGCCTGCGCCATCATCTTATAGGCCTCCTAGATGGGGTCCGAGTAGATGGGGTCGAAAGATCGGTGCGGATCGCCGATGCATCGGCGACGTCGGCGATGCATCCGCGCCGTCGGCGTGGAGAACAACGGGCACCACATCGAGCAGCATCGCCGATGCATCGGCGATAGGGCGCGGTCTTGCGACCCCATCTGCTCGGCCTGCGCACTCTCGGGGATCCTGCCTGCGGGCGCTCTCCACTGCCGCACTGCTGGGCCTCTGCCTGCGCACTCTCGGGGATCTTGCCTGCGGACGCCCTGCTCCCTTCCCGCGTCCGGCTGCTCGGGGCCTCCTGATGGCCCTGAGGCTTCGAAAAACTGGCAGCTCTGCACCGGTAGAGGGTATGCCACCTCGCCAAAGTACCCGGTTCTGCAAATTCTACGATGTTCAAGATACTTGCGATAAGTGCACGGGTGGACGGGGCCCGTCTTTCGAACAGGTGATCTAACTTGGCGAGGCCTCGAACTTGAGGATTCTGCAGAGAATGGCATCGCTCTGAGAATGGAGGCAGTTCCTTCGCAAAACAAGACACTCGCCTGAGTCGCGAGCACATGGGACGCTTGTCTTTCAAGAGATCGATCCCCGCAGTGAGAAAGAACACTCGTGGCAACTTCTGGGGTTGGAGCTTGGGACAGGGGGGATGCATTGTTGTAGCGTGGTTGGTGCATCGCACCTCTCACCCTCCTCCTCCTCCTCCTCCTCCTCCTCCACCTCCTCCGCATCCTCCTCCTCCTCCTCCTCCTCTTCCTCCTCCTCCTCCGCATCCTCCTCCTCTTCCTCCTCCTCCTCCTCTTCCTCCTCCTCCTCCTCCCCCTCCTCCTCCCCCTCCTCCCCCTCCTCCTCCCCCTCCTCCTCCCCCTCCCTCCTCCTCCTCCTCTCCTCCTCCTCCTCCCTCCTCCTCCTCCTCCTTCACCAACTTCTCCTCCTCCTCCTGTCTCCGCCTCCGCCTCCGCCTCCTCCTCCTCCTCCTCCTCCTCCTCCTCTTCCTCCTCCCTCCTCCTCCTTCCTCCTCCTCCTCCTCCTTCCCTCTCCTCCTCCTCCTCCTCTCCTCCCTCCTCCTCCTCCTCCTCCTCCTCCCCCTCCTGCTCCTCTACCACTCCTCCTTCTCCTCCCCATCCTCCTCCTGCTTCCTCCTCCTTCTCCTGATCCTCTTCTTCCTCCCTCCCCCTCCTCCTCCTCCTACGCCTCCTCCTCCTCGTCCTCCTCCTCATCCTCATCCTCATCCTCATCCTCATCCTCATCCTCATCCTCATCCTCATCCTCATCCTCATCCTCATCCTCCTCATCCTCATCCTCATAATCAGTATCATCATCACCAGCATCATCATCATCATCATCATCCTCATCGTCGTCGTCATCATCATCTTCACCATCAGCAGCAGCATCATCCACATCATGATCATCATCATACCATCATCATCACCACCATCATCACCATCAGCATCAGCATCATTAGCGTCCGCATAATCATTATCGGCATCAACATCATCATCAACAACATAAGCGTCATCATCAGCATCATCATCGTCCCCCTCCTCATGCTCCTCCTCCTCCTCCTCCTCCTCCTCCCCCTCTTCTTCCTCCTCCTCCTCCTCCTCCTCTTCCTCCTCCTCCACCGCTTTCTCATCCTCCAACTTTTCCTCCTCCTGCATCCACCTCATGCCTCCGCCTCCTCCCACTTCTCCTCCTTCTCCTTTTTCTCCTCCTTCTCCTCCTCGTCCTCCTGCCTCCACGTCCTCCTCCTCCTCCTTCCTCCTCCACCTCATCCTCCTTCTCCTCCTCCTCCTTCTCCTGCTCTGCTTCCCCCCCCCCCCGTCCCCCCCCCCCGCTCCCCCTCCCCCCACCCTCCACAACCACACAACACGACCCCCCCCCCCGACGACGACAAAAGACACCCGGCTCCCCCCCGCGCACCGCCCGCCGCAACCAAGATCCCCGGGACATGTGTTTTCTCTTGGGGGTGTTTCAATTATCCTGGCAAAGCAACCTAACAGCGATGTGTAGAAGCATATCTGGAAGCATTGCCCTTGAGATTCATGTAGGAGTCCTGTTGTAGAATTCTGGTGTAATCGCAGTCGCAGTCGTCGTCGCAATCGCAATGGCAGTTGCAGTGGCAACGGCAGTCGCAGTCGCAGCCTCAGCCTCAGCCTGCCTCAGCCTCAGCCAGCCTCAGCCTCAGCCTCAGCCTCAGCGGTGGATTCCCCATAGTCACTGGTGGCGCTGGGGGCCTCAGCATCAGCCTCAGTGGTGGATTCCCCAAAGTCGCTGGCGGCGCTGGGGGCCTCAGCCTCAGCCTCAGTGGTGCGTTCCCCATAGTCACTGGCGGCGCTGGGGGCCTCAGCCTCAGTCTCAGCCTCAGTGGTGCGTTCCCCATAGTCACTGGCGGCGCTGGGGGCCTCAGCCTCATCCTCAGTGGTGCGTTCCCCATAGTCACTGGCGGATCCGCGGATTCTCCCCGGATCCTGCCCGGACCCCCCTGGGGAGTCATGATGCTTTCTTCTGAGACCATTAGAAACCTATCAGTCTTCGCTGTTAGGTAAAAATGCTGCTCCCGCTGAAGCGCTGGCCTCATTTTAGGGCTCCCGCTCGTTCCGAATCGAGCTCCCTCTGAAGCGCTGGCCTCATTTCCGCGCTTCCGCTCGTTCCGAGTCGTGCTCCCGCTGCAGCGCTGGCCCCATTTCCGCGCTTCCGTTCGTTCCAAATCTTGCTCCCGCTGCGGCGCTGGCGTCGTTATTTCAAGTGCCATGCCACGGCAAGGTTTTCGGTCCCATAGGCCTCAAAATCTAGAAAATCCCCCCCCGGAAAAAAACAATCGGAAGTGATTCCACATTCGGTATCTGTTCGTTGATTTATTTTTTTGGCCACAGGAGCCTCCCCTGGGGCGTCGCCACGCCATTGCTGCGACATCCGACTGTGCGAATAGAGAGGAGATCTACGCATATGGTAGGGGATGGGAGGGAGGGGTAGGGCGTCAGATATGACGCGAGCGCACCTAGCTTGGCCTCCTCCTCCTCCACCTCCTCCCACCCTTCCTCCTCCCGCCACCACCTCGTCCTCCTCCCCATCCCCTTCCACCAACAAGTCTGCCGGAGTTCCCCTGAGGCCCTCCCTCTCTTGACATCTGGCGCCGCGATGTCTTCGCACCGTGGCTGCCCAGAGGTCTGGTTACCTTCGCTGTGACCGGTTCTTCATCCTAAGTCGTTCTTTCACTGCACTGGGGACTAGAAATAGCGCGAGGGCCCCCGCAGGCCGAAGAAATCGCCACGCGCCTGCCGTCATGTTTCCCTTCACGACGCGAGGACACCAGGGCTGCCTGTGCCCTCTGCACCCCCTCCGAAAAAATTACAGGCCCGCATGTCGGCCAGAAGGTGGTTCCTCCTGGCACCAACGCGATACTCCGTTATATCTGCGGCAACTCCTCGATCACCGCGCGTGACCTCCGCGCCCCAGACCCGGCAGGCAAGTGCCCAGGCGTGCACCTGGAGCCCCTCTGGCGGACGAAAATCTATATGGATCTGCCGTGGTGTGTGTCTGTGTGTCTGTGTCTGTGTGTGCCTGTGATTACGTGTGTCTGTGTGTCTGTCTGTGTGTCTGTGTGTCTGTGTGTCTGCGGGTCTGCGTGTCTGTGTGTCTGTGTGTCTGTGGTTATGTGCGTCTGTGTCTGCGTGTCTGTGTGCCTGTGTGACTGTGTGTCTGCGTGTCTGTGTATCCGTGCGCCTGTGTGTCTGTGGTTATGTGCGTCTGTGTGTCTGCGTGTCTGTGTGCCTGTGTGCCTGTGTGTCTGTGTGTCTGTGTGTCTGTGTGTCTGTGTATCTGTGTGTCTGCGTGTCTGTGCGTCTATGTGCCTGTGTGTCTGTGGGTCTGTGTGTCTGTGTGTGTCAGTGTGTCTGTGTGTCTGTGTGCCTGTGTGTCTGTGTGTGTGTGTCTGTGTCTGTGTGCGGCTTCCTCTCTTCCCGTCGCGCCAGGGCTCCTCCTCCTTCCGTGCATTGCGGCCCTAATTTGCATACAGCGTGTCCCCTGTTGCCTATCGGCTGGAGCAGTCGCCCTCTGCCCAGTCGCCGACGCAAAAAGTGAGTGTGTTTGTGTTTGTGATTGTGTTTGTGGTTGTGTTTGCGTTTGTGTCTGTGTCTGTGTTTGTGGTTGTGATTGTGGTTGTGCTTGTGTGCGTGCTTGTGTGTTGTGTTTGTGTTTCCGTTTGTGCTTGTGCTTGTGCTTGTGTTAGTGTTTGTGTGTGGCTGTGTGCGTGCGTGCGTGCGTGCGCGTGTGCGTGTGCGTGTGCGTGTGCGTGTGCGTGTGCGTGTGCGTGTGCGTGTGCGTGTGCGTGTGCGTGTGTGTCACGACGCGAGGATGGAGCAGGCGCAGCAGGCGCGACGGGAGGAGGAGGAGGAGGAGGGGGAGGAGGAGGAAGCAGGCGCAACAGGCGACCTCCGACACCCTGCCCGCGGGGCCTGCCCCGCCGGGCAGGCTGCGCCGCAAGAACGCCTCCAGCTCGCGGGCGACCTCGTGCCGCCCCTCCCGGAGCGCCTTGCGCGCGCGCGCTCTCGCCGCCGCGAGAGAGGAGGGGAGGGGGAGGAGCAGGAGGACGAGGGGGAGGGGGAAAAGGCGGCGGCAGCCTCGAACGCCCGAGCGCGCCCGAGGGACAGGCCCTCAGGGTCGTGGCGGCGGCCAACACGTCGACCGCCGGCAGGTCCGCGGCGGCCGCGTTTGACCACGTCAACATGTCAACATCCACCACAAGGACCGTTTCTCTCACGGCCCGCCAGGCCGCACGACATCGTTGAACGACAGACAGATCGAAGAGCCCCCCACCTGGCTTAGGCAGCACCGACGCGAGAGAGCCGGCTCCCGCACGCTGCTTCAAGTCCCCAAGGCTGAGCATCTCCCTGCGCACAAACACAGCGCACGGTAACCACGTCGACTTCAGGCAGCAACCATAGCGCCGAAGTGCGAACCCAAAGGGCATCCACGCCCACTGATCACAACTGTCACCGAATCCAGCAGCACGACCCAATCCAGCAGTCGGCGAAGGTCTGGCCAGATGGGGGGAGGACACCCCCTACTGGAACTGGACGAACGACCAGAGCACCCAGAAAGACAAAAACCAAATCACCAAACACGAGAGAAGGAGGATCACCGCCGGAACGACAACGAGAAGGCGACCATGTAGCACAACGCCATCACCGACACCATCGTCTCGGGCGTCTTCCCGAAGAAGAAGAAGACGAGGAAGAAAAAGGACGCGACCAACCACCCCCACTGGGAGGAACCGCCAAGATCCTCATCGGTATGCACTGCATGGAGGAACAACAAGCTCAAGCTCCAGATGCTCAAAGCCTACGCGCTCGTGGTGCTCAGGAACAACCACGCCGAACTCCCCATTTGGGACTCCCTCCACATGATTGCGCTCACCAAAACAACGATCCCGAACAGCGCATCGGAGACCAAATCGCGGACCTTGATGAACAGAGGAAGACGTTCGAGGACGCAAGGAACAGCGCGCAGGAGCACCTCGCGCAGCTCAACGAGTACGCCACCGCCAAGATCAATCGCAAGCTCCAACGGGCACGCAAAGCACGACAGCATCGGGAAAGACGAGGAGTCAGGAGCGCACGACGAGCACCAGGACCACAGACCGCCAAGCAAAACCAGGCAGAGGAGCGCCACATCACGCCCTGGTCGACAACATGGCGGACACGTTGGTGCACAATCACCAGGATCTGCAAGCGACACCGCGACAGATCGCCACGAGATCCTCAACAAGGAGCTCCAAAGAGAAGAACAAGCGACGGCACACTCCAAGGATGAGGCAAAGGCCTACAAGCACCAGAAGGGCAACATCCAAGGCAAATACGAGAGCGGCATAGCCAACACATATAACAAATACCGCAAGGAGATAGAGACCCTCAACGACGAACGGCAACAGCTACTAAAGACCGTCAGGGACCTCGAGGCCAACAACGACAACAAGATCCACACGACCAAGGAGGACCACGAGAAGAAAGAACGACACCTCAAACAACTGACCTAGGACCGCATTAAGAAGTACGAGGAACACAGCGACAAGATCTACATATAATCCGGCAGGAGGGAGGAGACGCTCAGGGGCAAGCTCGGAACGGCAAATAAACCCATGTCCAACATAGAGCAGAACGGCAAATACATCACCGACGATCGCCAAGAGGCATTGAGACAGAGTACCTTCATCGCGGAACGCGACGCCGCCGTCGACGAGACCAAGAGCCAGAATAACGAGGACATCATCACCAACACCCGACTGGAGCTGCAGAAAGCCGAGTCAAAATATGCGAGAAACAAGAGATGGACCACAAGAGCGAACTCGACCACCTCAAGCAAGCTACCTCCATACATGAACACCTCCAACACAACAAGCAGCAAGAAGCACAACAACAATAACCTAGAGCCAAGGACCCTGAGGATAACCAAACCATCCGACTAAAGAAAGCAAGGAACCAGCCCATCACCAGCGATGCCAGGGCGATGTACAACGCAGCCAAGGAGGCCAATAAGCATGAGCACATTCCCCAATCAGAGCTTGTCTCTGTACCTTGCAGAATCGCGCGCTTAACTATTATAGCAGAATTGCATGTTACGCTATAACCTGCGCAAGTATGTTTGTTTTATAACAGATGCAAGTGACCTTATAACACGCGTAATAGCCTACGAACCAGTTACAACGTTCAGGAATTCCCTAACACCTTATATGTACGTACGCACGTTACAAAACGCTTATAACACGAGTTAGCGCAGCCGGATTAATTATTTACAACCTAGTCATAAGTTGGCTGAGAAATTACTGACTTGCTATAACTAGGTTACCCACTGGTCGGAAAAAGTAGGTCGAAACATGCAGTAGGAAGGCGGAACAAGTAGATTGCATTCGGGGCCGCCCAACAAAAAACAACAGCAACAGCAATTACAAGACATATATTGCAAATTTCCGGGCCCTGTCTTAGCGGCGCGCAGTAGCGCTAGGTCGCTCGGCTCCTCGGATGGCCCCATTCCTTGGTTGGTTTCGGTTGTTCTGGCTTGTTTTCGTTTGTCCGTCGATCGCACTGGCAGCCTTTTGGTCGCTCGGCCCCCCGGCTGGCCAAATGCGTTGGTTTTGTTTGTTTTTTTTTGTTTTCGCTTGTCCGTCGGCTGCACTGGTCGCCCCAGGCCCGCCCGCCGCCTTTCGGTCGCTCGGCCCCTCGGCTGGCCCAATTCACTGGTTTTGTTTGCTTTTGTTTGTGTTCGCTTGTCCGTCGGCTGCACTGGTCGCCCCAGGCTCGCCCGCCGCCCCGCGGTCGCTCGGCCCCTCGGCCGGCTCCGTTGCCACTAAGGCCTTCGGTGGAGCTCCCCATGGGGCCGCGAACCCTGCAAGGGGTGCGCTGGAATGGTGGTGGAACTGCATGCGGACGCTGTCACTCGGGCCTTCGGTGGAGCTCCCTATGGGGCCGCGAACCCTGTGGGGGTTCGCCGAAATGAATGTGGAACTGCATGCCCACGCTGCCACTGGCGCCTTCGGCGGCGCTCCCGATGGGGCCACGAACCCTGTGAGGGGTGCGCCGACATGAAGGTTGCACGCGAACGCTGCCACTGGGGCCTTCGGTGGATCGCCCTATGGGGCCACGAGCCCTGTGAGGGGTGCGCCGACACGAGGGCGGAACTGCATGCGAACGCTGCCACTGGGGCCTTCGATGGAGCTCCCCTTGGGCCACGAGCCCTGCGGGGGGGTGCGCCGACATGAATGCGGAGTTGCATGCGAACGCTGCCACTAGGGCCTTCGGTGGAGCTCCCTATGGGGCCGCGAACCGTATGAGGGGTGCGCCGACATGAAAGCGGAACTGCATGCGAACGCTGCCACTGGGGCCTTCGGTGGAGCTCCCGATGTGGACGCGAATCCTGTAGGGGGTGTGCCGAAATGATGGCGGAACTCCATGCGAACGCTGCGACTGGGGGCTCACGCGGGGCCCCCTAATGGGGCCACGAAACGACGTGCGAGGGGCGCGCCGAAACAGAGACACGCGGAGAGCAAAGGCAGGCAGGGGATGGGGGGAGGAGGGGGAGGAGGACGAGGAAGGAAGGAAGCAGGAGGAGAACGCGGGGACCGTCTCTTCAAAACGAGCACCTAACACCACATGATGATTGGAAGAAACATGCACGTGATTCTGCGGGGTCGACCTTGAGTCGGATGGCAACATCGCTGGAGTTGCATCCCCCCCGTCCCCATGATCGTAGTCATTGCAGTTATCCTCGCCTCCTGCTCCTCCTCCTCCTTCTCCTGCGTGTCCCCCTCTCATCCACCTCCTCGCCCTTCCCCCATCCCCCCTTTCTCTCTGCCACCAAAACCTTCGATCCTGCTGACGCAGTCGAGGTGGCCGTTCAGCATGGCGTTGCCCTGGTCGATCTTCGCCTCGAGCGACCCCTTCGTCACGCCAGCGTCGTCGCGAGGCACCCTCAGCTCAGTCAGGAAAATCTCCAAAACCTTCGCTCACGCCTCGGCTGCCTCCGACTGGCGCCTACCCACGTAGCCCTCGGCGTCGGGGCTCTTCGCAAACGCGATAAGCTCCGCCGCGCGCAGGAGCATCTCGGTCAGGCGGGACTCCAGCTTGGCGGTCTTGGTCACGACGCTCTTCGGAATATTGGGGCCATCGGTGAGCTCCTTCTTGGCTCTGGGCTTCGCGGGGTTCTTCGCCTTCGGCAGCTTCTTCGAGCCCTCGACGGTTCTCTGCCTGATGTTATCCGGCAAAACCTGCTTGGTGTGCTCGAAACTGCACTTGGGAACGCACGCGCACTCGATGCCCGACAGCGCGCGCGTCTTCCTGGGCGCCGTAGCCAAGAGGCGCTGGAATGCATCTGGATTCCACTTGAACTGCGGCAACTCCTGGGCCTCCGTGATCTCCGCGAAGTCGCCGCTCTCCCTGAAGCGCGCGTCACTGGCATCCGCTAACCGAGACGCCATGGTCTCTTGCATTTCCTTCACGAGGTCAGCGCCGTACAAGTTGGTGGCATCCTTGTAGAACCTGGCCCGCTCCTCGCCCTCAATCTCCGCGAATGCCGCGAAGCCCCCCTCGCCAGAGCGGACCCTCTGCACGCGCGACTTGAGGCTGTGGCACTTCCTGTGGCAGACGACGCGCGCGACGTTGGCGTCGCCCTCTTTGATCGCGGCCAAGTCAGCCTCATCCAACGCGTCCTCCAGGCGCAGATAGCATTACCCGAAATATGGCTGCTCAGTGGGGGCCTGCTCCACGGCCACCACGGCGCCGCTCGACGCGGGCACAGGGGGCGCCGTCGCGGGCTTGGAAGCAGCCATCGCTCGGATCGGGAGCGAAAAATTGAAAGGCCGCGGCGCGGGCAGAGGGCTGGGCCAGCAGGCGCAGCCGCGCGCTTGACACTGCGGATGCCATGGATGGGCGGAGACGGGGGGGGGGAGCGCGGAGGTGGGCGGTGAGGAGGGGCAAGGATACATGGAGGGTGGCGAAGAAGGATAAGTTGGAGGGAAGGAGAGGGGGGGGGGGGGGATGGCGAGGGGGGGGGTCGGAGGGCGAGGGCAGCACGAAGAAGCAAGAGACCCTTTACTTCTCCTCTACCTCCTCGCCCTCTCCCCCTTTCCCTCATCCGTCTCCCCGCCCTTCTCGGCGCCTGCCCATGTCTCGTCGCCCTCCTCGGTTTCTCCCCCATGCATCCCCCCCCCCCCCCCTTCTCCGAGGCGCGACCCCCCCGAGATGGCTGCGCGCGCCGAGTTCCGGAAGATTGGTGCCCAGGGCGCGATCGCCGCGCGACCGACTTCCGGAGGTCGGGGGCCCGCGGGCTTCGAAACTGACGCCCCAGAATTTCGAAGTCCCAGAGACATGCACGCGGGGCGGGGGGGGGGGGGGGGGCAAGCGAGGAGGATGAGGGGAGAGAAGGGTGCAACGGGGAGGGGGGGCAGGATAAGGTGGAAGGAGGTCGCCCCGCCTGCCCCCATGGGCCTGTATTGGGCCTGTCTGCGGCGCCAACATAGGGCCGCCCTGGAGCCCTTGTTTGAGCCTCTGGGGCTCGTACTCGGGGCGATCGGGCCCGCGTCGGACGACGCGCGAGGTTCGTCGGGCGACGTCGGAGGCCGCGGAGCGCGGGGGGGGCGAAGACGACGACGCCGACCGCAAGTCAGCAAAGCAATGCGAGGCGGGCGCGGCGCGCCCAAGAAGTCAGCGGCGACGGTTTCCATCGCGCCCATCCCGTTCTCCGCGGCCTGCAGCGGCGGGCGGGGGGCGAGGGGCGGCGGGTGGGGGGTCGGACAGAGCGACTGCTCGGAGCACGACGGAAGGCTTCGAGAGGGCCCCTAGAGGGGCCCGAGAGAGCAGTCGAAGGTTCCATAAAATGCCCATCCACGGGCCTTGCGGGGAAGGGGGAGGCAGGGGGGGGCGGTTGAAGTTTTCATATTGTCAGCATTGCAATCGGGCTGTCCATGCAAAAAAAAAACCTTGGGGGCATCGAGGCACCAGGTGCCCATTGGAGAGCTTTTGACGTGAGCGTTCTCTAACGTGTCCCACCCTGTCTGCCTTCTTGGGGCAGTCCTGGAGCTTTCTATGGGGGGCCCTCGGGGCCTGCGAAGGCCTCCTGGGGGCAGTATTCAAGGCCCTGAGAGGGGCAGCTTCCCGCGGTCAAGGCGAATCGCTTGGGCGCCTGCTCTGGGCGCATCGGCGATGATACTCGACATGTAAAGACTTGAATACTGCTGATAAGAGAATAAGGAAGCGCGGGTAGGCCAGTCGAGCAGAGGGACGCGCATAAACGGCGAGGGTAGAAGAGCGCAAGGCAGGCAGACAACCGCCGCCCACCGCGCCTGGTCAGGTGCAAGAGCAGTGGCGCGGTCGTCTGCAGCGGCGGCTCGATCGCGAACATCTCCTGCGGAGGCGTCGCGCCAACGCTGCCGCCAGCCTGCCCTTGCCTCCCTCCGCCGCGCCTGCGCCCATCCTCCTGGCCCTGCTCGCCCTCCTAGCTCCGCGCCCCGCGCCCCCCCCCCCCCCCCCCCCCACCCCCCCCACGCACACACGCACGCACGCGCACGCACACACACGCACACACACACACACACGCACACACACACACACACCACACACACACACACCACACACACACACACACACACACACACACACACACACACACACACACACACACACACACCACACACACACACACACACACGCACACACCACACGCACCCCCACCCACCCACCCGCCCACCCCCCCCCCCCCCCCCCCCCCATGCCCTCGTCATCCCCCTCGCCCTCAGACCGCCGATCGGCTGAAGAGGCCCCCCAGGCGCGCCCAGAGCGCCCCGAGAGACGCCTCGGGACCAAACCAAACAAAACAAAAAAAAAGGACGCGCCGAGGGCTCCCCGTGAAAACCTCGAGAGACACCCCAAGACCCCGATTGGCACTCAAGAGGCGCATATTTCTTGTTCGCCCTGCCCACCAGTTCCTCGCCCATCACCCTCCCTCATCCTTATCATACTCCTCGTTTGATATAATTATATATGTGTATATGTATATATACATAGAAGTACATATGTGTATAGGTATGTGAATATTTGTATTTGTATATGTATATGTATATGTATATGTATATGTATGTATCTGTATATGCATATGTATATGCACATGTGTATGTATATGTATATGTATATATCGATGACAATGCATATGTGTATGTTTGTATATGTACATATATATACATGTGTTTATGTGTATGTATGTGTGTAGATGTATATGTATAGTATATGTGTATGGATATGTCTATGGTTTTGTATATGTGTTTGTATACACATATGTGTATGTGTAGTTACATGAATATGTATAAATATATATGGATGTATAGGTAAAAAAATATGTATATGTATATGTCTATGTATATGTATGTGTATATGTACATGTATATGTATATGTATATCTATATGTTTATGTATATGCATATGTATGGACATGTGTATACATATATATATATGTTTATGTTTATGGATTTGTCAATGTGTATGTAAATTGCTACGTATATGCGTATGTATATGAATGTAGATGTATACGTATATGCATGTGTGTTTGTGTATGTACATGTATACGTATATGTATATATATATATATGTCATTATGTACATATATATAATGATACTTCCCGCAACCCCCCCCCTGGCCCCAGCGCCCCCCTGATCGCAAAAACAATGTGTCTGGATGGGGCCTACCCCATCATCCTCCATCCCCCCAGCCCCGTGGCAGCGCTCCTGCGCGCAGAATGGTCACGGGCGAATGGGGGCCCCAGTCGTCGGCCACGCCCCACTTGCGGTCAGCGTAGATGCTCGCCCACTCGAAACTCAAACCGACGAACGACTTTGGTTTTTTGAGTCCGACAGGGGGTGCACATATTGATGCGAATGCAAATCGCGGGGTGCCCTGCCGCCATCGACCCCGTTAATCGTGATATACTGCATGCGCTCACTGTAGCCACCCCGCAAGAGGTCAGAACGGCCTGCGACCGCGATCTCGCGCCCGCCACCGCGACCTCGATCCCTGACGGCGGCCTTGCACCACGTCTGCTGCCAGATCCGTTCGGCCTGCGCAGCTGCGATGGTGCCGACTGGGAGCGAGTGGCGGGCCGTGGCGATTGGGCCGTGCATGGGCGGGCCGAACTAGAGAGAGCTCGACTGCTCCATGATCGCCTTTACTCGCTGTCTGGAGCACTGCGGCGCCTGCGGTGGCCCTGGAACACAGACGTTTCCGACGCAATACTCTATGGCGCGTGTTGCTCTCATCATATACGCGTCGTGCACGTCTGCTCGCGACCATTTCTAAGCGCGCTCATTGCTAAGTGCCCCTGGCCCCCCGATGGCCAGGGAGAGGCCCCGGATAGGACCATTAGACATGAAAGGATATTGGCCCCTAAGAGAACCAAACAATTCGAAGAATTGAAACAAAGGACGCTGCGATCATCGCGCGGCATGGCATGGCCGCGCGGCTGCGCGATGTGCTGAACGAGTGGCCGCGCGCGCGCCCTAGTGACAAGCCCTGCCACACCCCTGGGCGCAAGAGTGCGCGCGGGGTGCGCGTGTGTGCGCGTGTGCGTGCGCGCGTGGGCGGGCGTGGGGTGGGGCGGGGCGGGGTGGGTGGGGCGTGCGTGCGTGCGTGCGTGCGTGCGTGCGTGTGTGTGTGTGCGTGTGTGTGTCTGTGTGTCTGTGTGTCTGTGTGTTGTGTGTGTGTCTGTGTGTCTGTGTGTCTGTGTGTCTGTGTGTGTGTGTATTTGTGTGTGTGTGTGTGTGCGTGCGTGTGTGTGTGTGTGTGCGTGCGTGCGTGCGTGCGTGTGCGTGCGCGCGTGGCGGGGTGGGGTGGGTGGGTGGGCGGGTGGGGTGGGGGGAGGGGGGGGGGGCGGGGGGCTCTTCCAAGCTTGCAATTCCAGAGGTATGCGTCTGGCAATTGTGAAGGGTTGGGGCGGGGGGGGGCATGAGAGGTGATGGCGCGCATGGGGAGGGGTAAAGGGTTGGCGGGTGCGAGCGAAGCGGCGAGCGCCTCCCCCCCCTTCCCGACGCTGCCAGGCCGCCGGCGCCGATGGCAGCTGGCAGCGAGAGCGCGACAGACCCCGTGGAGAAACAAAACGGCGCGCGACCCCCGCCCTCACCAATCGCCGCTTGCGTCGCCTTCCCTCTGCCCCGTCCCCACGTTTCCACGCCCTCTCCCTTCCTCGCCCCCCCCCCCGCCATTCCTCCTCTGGCCCTCCATGCCATCGCACCTCCACGTGTGTTTTGTCTGCCTGTCGCGCGCGCTGGCGCCCGCTGCGGCGCGGGCCGAACGGCCGCGCGACGCGCGCGCGCCTAACGCGCGCGCGCGCGGTGAAACCACGTTGGCGCTGCCAACAAGGACCAGCCCCAGGCCGCCCACCCTCAACCACAACAAAAACAAGCTCGTTCAACAATAAGTGGTAACAACGCACCTACTTCCATAATTTTCCTTAGTTGGGTAGCGGCCACGGACCCGCCGTGAGAACTCGCATCTCTTTGACGACGGGGCGAAAGTGTTCGCCCGCCAACGGCGCAACGTGCACGTCAAGTACCTGACCTAGTGAGACGAGGTGCATAGGGCCATCGGAGATCCACAAGCTCCGGTCGGACCTGCGCCGACTGCAGCGGTTCACTACGACCCAGCACTCTGGAACGCGGGGGTTGT